GCTCGGGCGGTGGGGACGGGACCGGCAAGAGGCCTTCTGGAGAGCTGGCCGCCTCCGCCGCGAGCCTCACCGACGTGGGATGCTCTGCGGGTCGGGAGGTGGATGCGGGGAGGTGAGACCTGCCAGGGACTGGCGACAAACTCCCCCCCCTTTACTGCTAACTTGATCCTGGAAATGTTTAAGACAGGGTCTTCAACAGGAGAGCAGAAACGGGGCTAAAGGTGGCGACATCTCGCATTAGGTCAGAGTTAATTGTGGAAACAGCTTTCACTCTTAGTTCACATGGTGACACTTTTCAGCTAGTTAACATCTCCAGAGCTGGGAGAGGATTTGAACCCCCTCCCTCCACCACCACCTTGGTCCTCTTTGTAAGTGTTCCCAAGGGGTCCATCTACCCTTATTATAAGTTCTGCAGGGAATTGGCTGGAAATGTTTGGCCTTGGGGGTGAAAAGCTGGTGACCATCACCTAGCTTATTGTCATGGCCATGCCTTCTCCTTATCCTGTGTGCCTGCACCCCAGCCCTCCCACTCAACAGCAGAACGTTAGGGGTCAGCAGTCCACCGGGCCCCTCTGTTCAGTTGTGTGTTTTCATGGTGGTTCCTTAGACACACTTGCTGTCTCAAGCCTTTGTGCCAGCCACTGTCAGAAATAGCTGTCAGAAAATAGCTGTGCTCCAGCCCGTGTGCAGATCTACTATGAGTGAGGTTCATGAATTCTAGGCCAGTTAATGAAAATTAGACTTAGACATTGAGATTCCCCCTGCACTCCTGACATTTGACATCCAGGGTTAGGTCTACAGTGTTGGTATGGAAAGCTGTCAACTTGTGTGTCCGGGAAGTAGGCTTCCCTCGTGCCGACTTAGGAAGGCTGACACTGGTCTTGGTGTAGCTTTTGGAATAAATCCGTGAGACCTACTAAACCACACAGCAAAGCTGTACCACAGGTAGACCCTGTATGTTGATAACTTGCTGTGTGCCAGTCACTGGTGGGGGCTTAGGAAAGCTCAGCATGTCTGGAGCCCAGGAATTTGAATTTTTAAAAAGCTCTCCAGTTTCCTCCATGGAGATTGTCTTCTCAAGGGAACTTGGGGACTCCAGGAGAAAAATGTGGACAGGGTTTGGCTTTGTTGCTCTTTCTGAGCTGCTGCACCCGTGGGTTTATTTTGGGGATTGGGTCAAACCCAAACCCCCTAAGGAAATCAGCGTGGCCCCTTCACACCGGGCCAGTGTTTCTCCATTTGCCTCCGGATGGACTCATGCTGGGCGCTCAGGTCCTGAAAAGTGTGCGGCGCTGCTGAAGCAGCTTTTATTGTGGTAGGCTCTGCATTCGTGCTCCACTTAGCGATCCCGAGGAGACCCTCAGCTGGGGGTGGAGGGCAGGATCACCACTGTGGTAACGACACAGGATAGATTGCTAATTTTCTTAGGGTTTGTCTTTCCTTTGTTCTATATTGACCAGGCTTTGATCTAAGATTCCAGAGACGCCAGATACGAGGTGTGGCGTGAAATTAGCTGCTCTGTCTAATAGATTAGGAAGAGGAAGAAGCATGTAAGGTTCTACGGTTTTTTGCTTTTGGAAGCAGAATTTAATGGTCACTGGCTGCTCTGTCACCAAGCTTCACAATAAGCACAATACAGCTTTCTGCTGCAGAGCAAACAGGGCCGCACCTCTGCAAAGGAGCTTAGTTTAGGGCCCCGGAGAATTACATGTTTTGGTCCAAGGGCTTTTCCTGACGAGTTAAGAGAAAAGCAGGGAGTCTGCATGCACCTGTGGTGTGAGTGCTGTCGGGAGGCAGCGTGTGTGTGTGTGTGTGTGTAGCAGACGCCAAAGTCTAGGTTGCATTTAGAGCTGCGGCCTCGGCTATGAGATGGAAGCCAGTTGGTCATCTTCCAGCTTCCTTCCGTGCATCTGTAAAATGGGAGAGTGACGCTATCTTGCTGTCCCTGTAGGACTAGAATGAAAGCAGGAGAGGTCTAAGTGCAGTATTTTGTGCCTTGGGGAAGAGAAGCGGTACAATTGGACTGGTAGGTTTTTTTTCCCTGCTCAGGATCTGGTGCTGCTTGTTAGCTCCCCGCGGCTCACTACGTGCCAGTCTCGCAGGCAGCTGCGCAGCTGTGAGGAACGGACTGGGCCTGGCCAGGGTGGTTGTGATTTCTGTGGCTCTGCGAGTCCGCCCTGGTGGGAGGAAGGGAGAGCTGGGATTTGTAGCTCGTGCTCTTGCCTTGATGGGTAGGACCTGTGAGCAGTGAGAAATCTCAGTGCTTTGCCAAAGGGTGTGTGCCTTCCTCCTTGTTGTTGGTTAGGATTCATTATGGGCCTCTGCTGTGTAATTTGGGGCATTTACAGTAACCTCTAGGCATGTTTCTCTTTGCTCTTCTCCACATCTCCTTTTCCCATCTACCTTTCCCACAGCTGCCAACCAGAAAGTATGTCCTGTCGTCATTTTATGAGGCTCAGCAGTTTCCGTATTTTAACACTAAGCAAAACCCGACTTCTCTCAGATGCTTTAGAGTCTGCTGAGTGGACGTGCCTGGAGACACTGAGTGTACGGGCGGTAGGAATCAACTGAGAGAACGCTTTCTAACTAAAGTAAAACACGGGCCTGCCAACTGATCAAGTTTCTGTTCTGGGAACTGGGCTAGGCCTTGTACCACACATATGTCAGAATTCAGAGAGCTGGGCCTGATGCCCATGGGCCTCTGTGTAATATAGAACTTCGCTATTTCCAGAAAACCGGTGGAGTTCCCTGGTCTGCTTTACATATGTTGAGCTAATTGTCTTCCTTTGGATTTGGGGGGACATAGCACTTGAGCTACCCTTCTCGAATCACATAACACATACTTGGTTGGGAATGGGCATCTTTGTTCATTTTTCAAGAATTATTTTTTTAGCCGGGTGTGGTGGTGCACGCCGGTAACCCCAGCACTCGGGAGGCTGCGGCAAGAGGATCGCTACGAGTTCAAGGCCAGCCTGGGCTACATAGTGAGACCCTGTCTCAAAAACACAAAACAAAAATAGGTTTGTTTTTACTGACAGGAGGCTGTCCCTGGCAGTCTTCATAGTTGTGTGGTGGAAAATGGAGAACAACTCTGGTTTTCTGTTTGGGAAAAAAAGATGCAGTTTGGGACAGAGAGGTAGGCTGCCTTGGCACTGTGTGGGGCCCTGCTGTTCTGGGCAGACCTGGCAGGCAGGAGAAACCTTTTTCGCTGATTTCAGGGTCTCCTGAAAGGCATCTTTCTGTCATGGCGTGGCGTGGCATGCTGAGAGCAAAGTGGCTTTGTGTTGTGGTGAGGAACGTGTTTGGGTTTGTGGTCCACACTCTGTTGATCTTTTTGACTATTTTCCCAGAGTGGTTGTGCTTGATGAGCTCCCTGGCTCTAGAGATCTCTGCCCCCCCGGAGCCTTGTGTCCCTCCCTCCCCGCGGTCTGGCGGCGTCGTTTCCATGCTGGCCTCCCCTGGAAGTGTCCCGTCGGCTCTTCGGCTGCTTTCTGACGGACTTGGATCTGACCTTGCTGCACAGATGTCTGTGTGTTGGAACTAGACCGAGCACATGGTTTCCGAGCCCGCAGCGCATGAACAGACACTGGCTGTGACGGTTGGAAATGGCACGGGCTGCCTGGCTTGGTGCTGTGCTGTCGCGGGGCAGAGGTACATCGGGGCAGCCTCGTTTGGAAGTAACCTTGGGGAAGAGTATGTGTACGTCTCAGGGCGTCTTGTGGGGATGTACGGACAAGCGTGGGAGGGCCTTCCTATTTCAGTGCTTGTACTTTAGGTTTGAAGGGATTTGAGGCCTAGCCAGTGCTCCTGTCTTTGCCTTGCTGACCCATCGAGCCAGTGCTTCTAGCTCCGTAGCTCATAAATCTGTTACAGTACAAGCAGGAACGTGTAGCATCTTACCCACAGCCCCGTCACAGTGCTGATGCCTTGGAGGATTGGCCTGCGTCTTCTGCCCCTGTTTTATTCTGCCACAGGGGCATGGCCACCAAATCCACCCACCCCACCCTAGCCCTCAAGAGTCTCTGCTTCTGGATTCAAGGGGCCCACTGCCAGGGTTACAGCAGCTACCGTTGGAGCCCCAGTGCTTGTCAAGGTGATCTGGGGAAGAGTAAACAACAGGGGATGTAGTCTAGAGGGCTATTTATTTATTTATTTTTTTGGTACCGGGGATCAAACTTGGGACCTTGTGCTTGCAAGGCAAGCTGCGGAACCGCTGAGCCACATCCCCAGCCCTTAGAGGGTTAATTTAAAATGTATATCTGGAGTGGTGTCATTCATGTTGCTCTCCGAAATCAGCTCGTCAGCTTAGAATGGGCATTCTGGGTGTTTCCTCTACACCAAAGGGGCACAGAATCTGTGTACCTCAGTAACGCATGCTACCTGCGTGCATATCTCCAAGTTTAGCAAATGGGCAGAATGCTTTCGGCGCCTTGGAAGACCTGAGTGTTGCTTCCTGATTGCATTTTGCCCCTCCACAGGGTAACCACCATCCTCAATTTTATGTTAATCATTCCCTTGCTTTGTTTTTTTAATAGTCCTCTAGATTGGTCTTTTATGAATGACTGCCTGCCGTTAGGATTCTCTCAGGTCCTTGAGGCAGAAACTGCTTAAGGTTGTTAGGCAGGCTGCATCTCCCTGAAGAAGAGCCACACATTTTTACGATCAGTTTTTCAGCCTCATAGACCTTTTGCTCTTCACATCCAGCCACAAGGCACTGTTGTTTGCCAGGAAAAATCATCTTGGTGCTCTCAAATGGCTCTGCCTCGGTTTAGACTCAGATGTTTGTCTTTTTCTACATCCTAGAAACTCTGGTTTTCTTCTCCAAAATGCCAGGGGCGGGGGAGAAGACAAGCTGCAGTGCGAGGGCCCCTGAAGACGTGTGCGTTTGGCACGGACAGCGTCCCCGCATGGGCAGATGGCACAGTAGTGCGGCTTCCTCTGAAAAGAGGCAGGCAGCCAGGCGGCTGAGGTGTGAGCCTCCTGAAAGGCCAGTGCTCGGGCCTCGCTCGGGAGCGCCTGAGCAGCCTTCAAGCTCGTCTGGCGGCATTAGCTTCCTTCTAGGCGTTGGGATTGTCGGCGCCAAGCTGCAGCCGTCACAAGCGACTCTGAGCAAAGAGTGGCCGGTGCGGCTGTGCCTCTCATGCAGCCACTGCGGCGTGTGTCACTGCCTCTCCGCCGTTAGACCCTCAGGTCCAGCCTGGAGGAGGCTGTAGCACCAGTGTGCGGACGGGAACCACCAGATTTCAGCCCCTGCTCAGCGAGGGCTTCATGGGCTTGGAGTTTTCTCTGAATTCTGAGAAGCTCGTGCATCTGTGTCAAAACATAGGTGTGTAAGCATCTTCTGGAGTCACATAACTAAACAGGATTTCATTTTGGACTTTCTCTGCTTTTGCACCTCCCTCCAGTTGACAGTCAAAAAAGGTTGCAGTTTTTTTGCAGTCCTTCAGGCGAGAATAATTTCCTTTTTTGTTTGTTTGTTTGTTTGTTTTTTGAGACAGGGTCTCACTATGTAGTTGAGACTGACCTGGAACTTTTGTAGCCCAGGTTGGTCTCAAACTCACAGTGATCCTCCTGCCTCAGCCCCCGAGTTGCTGGGATTAATAGGCGTGCGCCACCACACCTGGCAGAGAGTAATTTTTGAAGGGGAGTCAGCTAAAATGTGTGGAATCAGGCACTGCAGTATTATAATTACAGCTGTAATACCTGGAGTCAGCTGGTCAGTTCTGAGGTGGGATTTTTAAGTCTGGTTTATTAAGGTATAATTTATTTGCCCCCAAATTTCTCCTTTTTAGGTGTCTAGCTCTGCTAATTTTGACAAACTTTAGTCATCAGAACTTCTGTCTCACTCAGTATGTAACCCCTTTCCGTCACTCACCAAATTACCCCTTAGTTAATTCAGTCAGCCTAAGATGTGTGTTTGGAGTCTGGCACATTTTTGGCCAGAAAACCTGAATTGGAGGTTTTTGGATTCTCTCATTTTTTGCTTTCAAGCCAGTCCAAATTGGTACAAAGTGAAGTTCCCTTTTGTGTGTAATCAAGAGGCGATCTGGGGAGGGGATGTGGCAGGGTGGGGATGGTAGGGCCCTTGCCTAGTGTGTGGCCCTGGGTTTCACCCCCAGCAACACGCACCCAGAGATCGGGGTTTTCAGTTGACCCCTGGAGCCTCCAGGAGGGGTCGTGGAGGGCTGTGTACCTGGGGTTCGAGGCAGAACCCCAGCTGTGCAGAAATCAGGGCTCTGTGGGTGAAGATGGCAGCGCCCCCTGGCCTCAGGCCAGAGTGTTCCGTGCTCCCTCTGCCCTCACCAAGCAGCCGCAGAGTGAAAGCCGCTCTGTGAGCTGTGCCTGTTCAGGTCTAGAGCCTTTTGCTTGACTCCCAAATGAAAATCAGCTTTGCCTCTGACTTCCTTCTTCTTGAAATGGACTTTATAATTACCACTCAAGGTGTTTCACTCTTTTAACTGCTGGGTTTGGAGAGCTCCAAAGGGATTTCTTATTGTTTTGTAGGTTGATGATTTGGTAGCCAAACCTATTTAAGGAATTGCCTTAATTATTTTGTTCTCCTTTATATTTTAGGCTCTATTACAACAGTGTTTTGTTTTCGTTGCATCTGGAATTGAGAGTGGCGGTGATTGAAATGCCCATATTCACGTCTCCCTTCTCTGTGTGTTCTCACCCCAGGAAACCCAGGTTGACGAGAACTCAAAGTGCCTTTTCTCCGGTCTCCTTCAGCCCCCTGTTCACAGGTAAAGGTAGCTTTTTCTTTCATCTGAGAGCAGGTGTGTTCTGAGACCTGTCGGGCCTTTTAGAGAGATCAGTGGCCTCATTTGCCTCCTGGGGAAGGGGTAAAATATTAGCTGATGGGATTCAGCCCCGGATAAGAAAAAGTTATTGGCAAGAACAAACTAAGGGCTCAGGTAAAGACATCCTGGGCTCTGACCTGTAGATCCAACCTGCGAGAGCAAACACGTCTAGGCCATCGAGGTGGAAACAAGACACCCTTCATTCTCTGGAGACTTGCAGGGGCTTCCGGCCTGTCTGCTCTCATCGCCTTCATCCCGCGCCCCTTGGGTGTGAGATGAGGCGGTTTTCAGGTGCACAGTGATATTCGTGTCCTTGGACGCTTTAGACACAGAGCTCAGGGCTGCTGCTTGGTGATTGGCAGCCCTGGCAGTTACAAGTGCTTAGTTCAGGGTCATCGCATATAAATTAAAAGTAGGAATTACAAATTCATGGGCTCTCTGCATAAAGGGCTCTTGAAGTCATATAATTCCTGTCCCTGTTTCCAAGGGAGTTCATAGATTATCTAACAGAAATGATCCCCGTATATCTGGTCTATTTTTAAAGACTTTGGGCAAGGGGATTATCCATTTTAGGGGCTAGCAGCTCCTGCAGCTGTTAGGGCTCTTGGTTGTATCTAATTTAAGCCTTTCCTCCTGCCATAGGGAGCGTAGTTGATAACATGGGAAGGCTGTTAAATGCCTGCTGGGTGGTGGGTAACTGCCTTCCTTTTTTAGTACCAGTGCTGGGCATTGAACCCAGGGCCTGACACTTGCTAGGCAAGTGCTCTGCTGCTGGACTACACCCCAGCCCTGCTCGTTTTGTGGGGAACTTTGTCGGAGAGGGAGAAAATCCCTTGGTGGAATGTGAAGCTCCTGACTGATAAGCTGTAGAAAAGGGAGTCTTTTCCACACTCAAGTCTTACAAACCGAGTACTCTCCTTGGTGTTGGTTGTGACCAAGAAGCCTTTTTTAAAACATCCCACTGCTAGGTGTGGTGGCGCACGCCCTTAATCCCAGCGTTTAGGAAGCTGAGACCGAGGATCACCGAGAGTTTGAGGCCAACCTGGGCCACATAGTGAATCCAAACTCTGTCTGAACTACATAGTGAGACCCTGTCTCAAACCCATTCCCTGAAAAACAAAACAAACTAACAAAAAAACTAAACACCCCACTGTCAAACTCCTTAGGGACTCTGTCCCTTAAAAGGTGACTGGAAGAATTATGACTTGGGAGCAGAGATGTCCAGGAAGATGTTAAGCCAGTGGAACCCCAGTGGGGTAGACTGGTGAGCTCTGAGAACAAGTGAGTTGGTCCCTGAATAGACATCTGCTGAGGGAGAAGATCTCTGTTCTTACCCCAGGCCTGAAATTCAAGAATCTTATCCTGTAGGCAACATGTCTTTCTAGCGAGTAATTATTTTCTCCTTAAAGTAAGTAACACCCACTCTGTAGTTTCAGGTTCAGTCTTGGCTCCCTTGAATTATGCCTTTTATTTAAGTGCTGTGCCTACAGCCAAGGTGCCTCTGACCTGTCCTCATCGCCGTTGGCTGGGATGGGGCGCTGCTTGGGAAGCAAAGCTCTCAGTTACCGACCCTGCTTCCTGCTTCCGGTGCTTTACTCAGGACTTCTAGAACTTTCTCCGTGTCCTTTTTTTTCCTCCTGGCAGGACTAGGGCCCGAACCTGGGATCTTGAACATGCTACACAGTGCTCTGTCACTGAGATCCCACCAGCTTTCTCACCCTCATTAGTGTTCAAGACCTTTACCAAAAAAATGCAGATTTCTGTAAACCTAGCTCCTGGCCTTTTAGAGATAATTGGTTTCCTCGTTTGTTTTGGTTTTTTAAGCTGGGAAGCATTAAAATATTAATTGAGGGGCTGATTCAATCCTGGATAAGAAAAAAAAATATTGGAAATAACACCCTAAAGGCTAAGTTAGAAAAATCCTAGGTCCTGGATCTGTCAGTCAGACCTGCCAAAATGAATGTATTCCAGGCCACGAAGGTGGTAATAAAGTACCCTTCATCCTTTGGAGACTCAAGTAGAGAGGGGTTGATGGGGTGGGGACGGCAGAGGCTGGAACTGTGTGACACTCTGGCAAGGAAGTGGAACAGTGTGCCACTCCTGCTGAGCTCCTGTTGCAGAGAGCTGCGTCTGAGCTCACCTGACCAGTGGCTGACTGGAAGTTTTAACCTTTCGGGCTGCGAGTGCACTTTCAGCCTAGGAAGCCTCCACCAGGAGGAACTAACTTACTTCCTTTTTTAATTTGTTTGTGGGACTGGGGTCTGAACCCAGGGCCTTGAGCATGCTCAGCAAGCATTCCACCACTGAGCCCTTTTTATTTTATTTTTGAGATAGGGTCTTGCTGAGTTTCCCAGGCTGGCCTTGGACTTATGATTCTCCTGCCCCATACTCCTGGGGAGCTGGGATTACAGGGACCACTGTGCCCTGCTATTCAACATCTTAAATGGTAGATTCTCTTTTAGCTAAATACTCTGGAAACTAGTTGGAGATAGCAAGCTAAGCTAACACTGAAAGTGTATCTGCGTCCAGCTTACCCCTCAGTTCCTCACGTTGCTTTTTCATGGTGCCTGTCCCCACCCCTGTCCCTTTGGCCTCATAGGCCACCTGCCTTGCTCCGTAATGCAGACATTGGTGTGCAAGTCAGTAAAGATATAGCGTGGGTTCCAATCAATAAAGACCTCTCGTGCAAGGTTGTAGGCCTGTTTCAGGGTAAGTCAGCGGCAGAACCAGCGTTAGATGGCCCCAGGTATTTCTCCCGAGAGTCCTTGGCCCTTCCTGGGATGAGGGAGTGACCAGTTTAAACTGACTGCGCTCGGGGTGGCTCCAGGCACAGGAGCATTGGATTCTGGCTTTGCTAAAGCCGCCTCCATCGCTTGCCCTTTGCTTCCTGTTGCTGTTGGGCGAGGGGCTTCGGTGATTTGCTTGCTTGTGCTCCCCCAGGTGAAACAGTGTCACTTGTGGATGTGGACATTTCTCAGCGGGGCCTGAGCTCCCCACACCCTCCAACTCCCCCTCCTCCTCCGAGAAGAAGCCTCAGCCTCCTAGGTACAGTCTCCCCGCTCTCTGCCCTTGCGCCCTGGCGGGAGGGGGCGCTCTTTGCCAGGAGCCCAGCGAACTTCTGGGTTTCCAGCAGTGACACAGCTCTTTCCTGCCCCCCGCCGTTGGAGGGGGCTCTCGACCTGGTGTCGCAGTACTGAGCTTCCATTCGTTAATTAGCTTTCTCTATGGCCACGAGCCACCACGGAGAATACTCGCTCCTGCTTCCTGAGCGAGGCCAGCCTTTTGCGTTCAGAGGATTACTGCCCTCTGTGCCAGAAGACGGTGAAGATTAGGGTGCCTCACCTCCGCCCCAGGCACAGCCAGGGCCCCTTCCCCTCTGCCTTTGCCAGCTCATTCCATGCTCATCTTCTGAACTGTGTGCTTTTGTTCTCTCTCCTAGATGATATCAGCGGGACGCTACCTACATCTGTCCTTGTGGCTCCGATGGGGTCTTCCCTGCAGTCCTTCCCCCTTCCTCCGCCTCCTCCGCCCCATGCCCCAGGTTAGCTTAGTTTAGAGGCTGACTTCCCAGAGTCCGGGCCAGGAGAGATCTGTCATGAATCAGTCATGAGAAAGCTGCATCTCTCCCCCTTGGCTGGGCCAGAACTCCTTGGAAATGAGGCTGAGAACTGTTTTTTTCTAACCCGTTCTCTTATGGAGGTGAATCTTCTCAGGAATAAAAGCATTGAATTTTTCATCTCTTGACTGCTGAGACTGGACTTCCAATCCTTGACTTAGCCCTCACTTAAGAAACCGCCTTAATGCCAGGGTAGTGAGGCGGTCTGCGGAGCCAAGGTTTCAGAGTGCTGTGGTTTTTCTAAGCCGTTAGTGTTTACTGCAGCCTTCTCAGTAAGTACCAAGCATTTAGTAGCCCGTGGCTGCCTTGCCAGCCCGCAGGACCCAAGGAATAAAATGAATGAAATCAGCATACTTTCTACTTGCCTGGCAAAGTCCTTACTTACTCTTCCTGGGCAAGTAAGCGAGTCACTATTTCCAAGGCTGCCTTACCGGCGCTTCACTTCGAGGTGGGAGAAGTTGGCGTCGCTCTAGGCTGGTGAAGGCCCCGAAGTAGTCACCTTAGTCAGGTTAGTGAGCAGCCGCCCCGGGGTGAACGCCCCGCCCATCCTTCACAGCTTACACAGCCACACAGCTTTTTGTTCCAGCCCATCCAGCTCTTCCCCACGCTTTGGCTTCCACCCTTTCCAGCTTAGCTTCTAATGCCTCGCCCCTCCTCAGTTAGCATCTCTTTGGGGGGCGGGTGTGCCTGGGGGTGGGAGCAGTGAGGGCCAGCGGGTGACGCGCCCGTCTTGCCCTCCAGATGCTTTTCCCCGGATCGCTCCCATCCGAGCCGCCGAGTCCCTGCACAGCCAGCCCCCCCAGCACCTGCAGTGTCCCCTCGACCGGCAGGACTCGAGCAGCTTCACGGCCAGCCTCCGCGAGCTGGAGCAGGTAGGTGCCGCCCTCCCTGCCGGCCCTGTGGGCTCCATTCCAGGCCCTTGGGATGGTTTCTAGAGGAGAGAGGTTTCCTGACCTCCGTATGGACGGTGACGCGCTAGCTCCATAAGAGATGTAGTGAGAACCGCAAAAAACAGACACGGGAGATGTCGTGGAATGGAACTGGGGGGCGACGCAGTGCACAGTGAAGGAGGGCTGACTTTGGTAGGTTGGCTGGTGCGGGTCCTCTTGTTTGTCGGGTCCTCGAGTCTTCTGTCACCTTGGGGGACTGTAACAGTACAGTGAGCCTGATGTTCTCTGGCGATGGTTGAGACCCTTCAAGTGGGGTAGGGTCCCCGTTAGGCTGTGCCCAAAACCTTGACACTGCTCCACTCTGTTAACTGCGTGGCCATTTCCTGTCTTTGACCAGTGTGGTTGGTACTGGGGGCCGATGAATTGGGAAGACGCAGAGATGAAGCTGAAAGGGAAGCCGGATGGCTCTTTCCTGGTGCGGGACAGCTCTGACCCTCGGTACATCCTGAGCCTCAGCTTCCGGTCCCAGGGCATCACCCACCACACTAGAATGGAGCACTACCGAGGTGAGTGCCGGGCAGTGAGGGGCTTCTCCCCGCCGCCCTCCCCTGCCTCTTCCTAGGAAGTGTTTAGAGGAGTAGGACTAGACCAGGGGCCAGGCTCAGACTTGCTCCCTGTGGAAGGAGTGCAGCAGGGAAGGGAGAGTAAGGGCTCCATTCGGGCCCCCTCAGCATCTTCTCCCCCGAGTGCGGGGAGCAGAACCGCGCTGGGCCGGCACAGCTCTCCTAGTCGTAATTCGGAGTTAAACGTCGCATCCAGAGGCCCTGTGCGGCTCCTCCTCTGAGTCTCCGCTAGTCCAGGCAGTGTGTGGTGAGGCTGCCTCTCCTGGTCGGGTCTGTGGTCTCGGGCAGCCCTCCTCGGGATGCGGACAGTCGGTGGGATCAGTGCCTGAGACCCTCTGCCGTCCCGGCGGCCCTGCCTCGTTTGTGGGGTTTCTCGTCCGGACACCGAGCAGCCGACCTGTTAGACGTGGCTCTCTAGATGGGTCGTGCACTGGGCATTCTGATGGTCGTTGGTAGGAGGGCTGGAAGTACATCTTCTGTCAGGATCCCTGCGTAAAGTGGGCCGGTTTGCTGTCCCCGCGGTCTTGCCGTGCACAGCTCGGCCTCTCGGGGAAGAGCCTCTGCCTCGCTCCTCCCGGGCGCTGTGACGTCTTCCCCACCCTCGGCTCCTGTCCCGTGGACTAACTCGCCCATTGCTTGTGAGACAGGAAGTAGCTGCGTAGGTCAGTAGTTTGGGTGGTGGTTTCTTCCACCCTACTTAGCCTAGGGATGTGTGAAGAGAAAGGAACTTGAGTCCAAAGGCCTAAGAATGAGTGTGTGGGGTGCTGCTTATTTTCCTGCAGTTCCTAAAATCCAAAATTAAGTGGACAAAACTAAAGTGCAGAAGATCATTTCAGAGTGAAGCATTTTGTCAAACCTATGAGATGACAAGGACCGGGCCATGGGAATGGCAGGTAAATGCTTGGCCTTGAAGCTCCTGCTAGGTGAGATGCCAAGAGCGCAGTCCTTTCCAGTAGTTCTGCAATTGCTTTTTATTCAAACGACTTTTCTTCCTTGAGTCAGTGGAGTCCACAGTGGAAGCCTGTGGGCTTCTGGCGTCCAGTCTGTCCGCGCGTTTGCCTTCATCCTTTTCGACACTACTTGATATTCCCTTGGGAGTAGCAGGGGACTCAGGTCTGCCGTTCTCCAGAGCGATGAGCAGCCCTCCTTCGCGTCCTCCTTGTTGGCTGTGCTTTTGGAACATAGTCCTTTTCTGGACTTGTTTTTATTTTTTAATGCTCATCTTGACAGAATCTTTTTATATTTTTTCTGATGTAAATTTCTTATTTATTTAATAAAAAGATTTGAAGGCATCATTTCTGTCTTACTCAGTTGAGGTAACAGCCTCCTTCCCACTGACTGGGATAAATAGGAACAGGTGGCTTCGGGTACCTTGGACCCAGCGTCCCCAGACGGCTCTCCCCAAAGCCAGAATCATTGTCATACCATTTTGAAGGACGGTTGTAGCTTTGCACTTCTTCGTTTTCCACGGCAGGAACCTTCAGCCTGTGGTGCCATCCCAAGTTTGAGGATCGCTGTCAGTCTGTGGTGGAGTTCATCAAGAGAGCCATCATGCACTCTAAGAACGGGAAGTTCCTCTATTTCCTGAGGTCCAGGGTTCCAGGTAAGGCGTGTTGTGCTCACTGTGTGGCTCATCTGGGGTGCGATCCAGTGTGGCGTCAGGGTGCCCACCCGCAGGCAGAGGCCGTGCTTCCTGGGTGGGTTTTCCTGGAGCCCGGCGGCCTGGCCGGGCCTGTGTGTGCGGCCCCCGCGCTCCTCTGTGAGGAGACCCTCCCGCTGACTTCCGGCAGTGTGAACAGGGCCACTCCGCATGTCTCCGTCTCGCGGCAGGCGACTTGGAGCTGTGTGTGAAGCAGGCCCCTTGGCGGGGGCACAGGGACAGTGAGGGCGCGGTCGCAGGAAGAGGTGTGAGTGCGCGGGATGGATCGCCCTGGGCTGCTGGACCACGGCGGCCGGTCTCCCCTCAGAGAGCGGAGGTTCATCTCCTTCCTTCCGAAGGTTGCTGCACAGACTTCTCTCCCTCTGGTGCCCTGCTGTTCCCAGGCTGGTCTTGGGGCTCTGCCTGCTCAGGATGCTGTCTGGGTCATCTCCGGTGCCGGGGAGAGGGCTGGTGTGGAGGGCCTGCTTGTGCAGCGCTGGGTAAAGCACAGGGACACGCGCAAGGACAAGAACAGCTGGAGACAAGAACTCCGTGCTTTCCCCTTGAATCCAATTCAGATCCTTCTTTTTTGGTCCTGGGAATTGAACTTGGGGACTTGCACTTGCCAGGCAGATGCTGCACCACTGAGCTACATTCCTGGCCCTTTTTTCTTTTGTCTTGTTTTTTCCTTTGTTGTTTGTTTTGAGACAGGTTCTCTCCATATAGTTCAAGTTGGTCTTGAACTCAGTGTGTAGCCCAGGCTGACCTCAAACTCGAGGCTATCCTCCTGCCTCAGCCTCCTGAGTCCTGAGACTACAGGGATGCACCACCAAATTTAGATTCTTAAGTAGGATGTCGAGACGAGATGTTGCTCTGAAAAGTAGGAGTTGCCAAAACGCCTCTGGCAGGACATCAGGAGCAGGGCTGAGCCAGGTGACAGGAGTGTTTGTACAGTTACGGTGTGACAGCTGTGAACTGTGTTAACTCTCACTTCTTTTAGTCCTCGCCTTGGTGCTGTCAGCATTGTCACTCCCAGGCAGGTGACTCTAGGAATTGGCCCTGCTTGGCAATTTTGTAAAGTTTGTGGTTTTGGGGTGTTTATTTCCTGAACATGTTATTTATAAGAGTATGAAAAACTGGCCACATCACTGCCTCCACGAGCCATAGTCTCACAGAGGGGCCAGGCAGAAGGGCAAGAGCACGACACCAGTGTCCCCTAGCCAGGCAACACCGTGGGAAGGGCTCAGCCCTCGAGCGGCTCCTCCTGCAGTTGTGCCCCACACACGCCTGCACCCAATGTCCTCACCCTGAGCCGTGCCCCGGTCAGGTGTGTTTTTTATTTTGAGACAGAGCCTCCCTAAATTGCTAACCTGCTCAAACTGGGCTCAAACTTGCAACCCTCCCTGCCTCAGCCTCCTACACTGCTGGGACCACAGGCGTGCACCAGAGCTTGTTAATAGGCAGAGGGTGAATGGTCTCCCCACTGAGCTACATCTCCAGCCATTTTTTATTTTGAAACAGGCTGTTAAATCACTAAGTCCTTCAGGCTGGGCTTGAGCTTTCGATCCTCCTGCCTCCGCCTTCCAGGGTCCTGGGATCACAAGTGTTCTTTCTTGTGCCTGGCTTCGTGCTTCACCCTTTCAGCAAGGCTGTGCCTATGGGAAACACATCATGTCTAATCCTCTCTCTTTGATCTTAGCAGCCCTTTGTTGGAGGCAGCAAAACGGTGATATTCATCACTTTCTATTTATTAGATTGTTTTAGGGGTCGAATTTTTTTGTACCAGGGATTGAACTCAGGACCTTGCATTTGCAAGGCAGGCGCAGTGCCACTGAGCTAAATCCTGGCCCTTGAGGTCGAATTTTGCTGCTTTGTCGAGGCTGGCTTCAAATTCCTAGGTGTAAGTGACCCTCCTGCTTCGGCCTTTGAAGTAGCTAGACTACTGGAAAAAGCCGCTGTCCTCAGCTCTTAGCCTGAATAATTCTGTATAGACATTTCCTGTCATCTGTTTTTGTGTGCCAAATTTATATGGGGAAAGCAGATATGTTCTTTATTCTTCTCCTGTATTTACCAGTTTTGAAGGCAGTAATCTGGTTCTCCATCAGGAATCACTTAAAAAATACTAATAGGCACTCACAGGATTGCGAAGCCATGATGTGTGCTGCCGTGTGGATCTGGCGTGGCCCCTAAGGCTGTGGTCCTGTGGGAAGCAGGCCCGAGGAAGTCAGGGACCTGGGTGTCCTGGGAGGACATTGGCCCAGCCGCACCCCTCTGTCTGCCACCTGGGTGCCTGGCGGTGGGCGCTCCCGCAGTGGGCAGACCTCCTGAACCTGCAGCCAGAACGAGCCTGTCCCCTTCACAAGCTGGGCACTCCACGTTTGGTACAGGGCCGGAAAGATGACTGCCACTGGCCAAACTCTGATTCGCAGCACTAGAAGAAACCCCAACAGTCATCTGTTGAAAGTGTGCGATTCAGTGGTGTCCAAGTCAGAACCTTCTCTCTTTCCTCGTTTGGTTTTTTTGAGAGAAGGTCTCAGTTCGCTGTGTAGTCTAGGCCGGGCTTGGACTCAGCAATCCCCCTGCCTCAGCTTCCTGAGTGCGGGGATGACAGGTGTGCACCATTGCACTTTGTTTACCATAAGTTTTGAAGTTGAGAAATACATTCTTTTTCAAGATTATTTTGGCCATTTTGGGTCCCTTGCATTTCCACATGAAGTTTTAGATTGTTGTATTGATTTTTAAAAGAAGCCATCTGGGACTTGGATAGGGATTAAGTTATGTCTGTATATTGAAATGGGGAGCATTGTTAGCACTATTAAGCCTTCTGATAACATGAATATGGGATGTTTTTCTTTTTTGTGTTTTTGTTGGTTTTTTTTTTTTTTTAACTAGGGATTGAGCCAGACATAGTGGTGCGTGCCTATAATCCCAGCACTCGGGAGGCTGAGGCAGGAGGATCACTGCGAGTTCGAGACCAGCCTGGGCTACATAGTGAGTTCAAGGACAACCTGAACTACACAGCAAGACTCTGTCTCCAAATAGATAAATAAATAAATAAATAAAAAAACTTGAGTTTGAACCCAGGACCTTCACACTGAGCAACATCTCCAGCCCTTTTTAAATTTTGAGGCAGGGTCTTCCCAGGTTCCTAAGTTTCCCAAGCTGGATTTGAACTTGAATCCTCCTTCCTCAGCCTCCCAGAGCACTGGGTCACAGGTGTGCCCCACCACATCTAACACTTGTTCACTCAGGTCTTATTTAAACACTTTGGACAGTGTTCTGTAGTTTCTCATAGTGAAAATTTTGTACTCTTTTGTTCAAGTTATTCTTAAATATTTGATTATTTTTAAAGCTATTATAATGGTTTTCTTAATTTTAACTATTTTTAGGTTGTTCATTGCTACTTGCTTTTTTTTTGTTTTTTCTTTTTTGAAACAGGGTCTCCCTATGTAGTTGAGACTGACCTGGAACTCACTATGTAGCCCAGGCTGGTATCCAACTCACAGCGATCCTCCCGCCTCAGCCTCCCAAGTGCTGGGATTACAGGCGTGTGCTACCATGCCCAGATCTACTTGCTTTTTGTGTATCCATTTTATATCCTACAACCTTGTCAAACTAATTCAGTGGTACTATGTATTAATGTATGTATGTACGTATTATTGAGACAGATTCTCACTATGTTGCTTAGGCTGATCTTGAACTTGTGGCAATTCTCCTGCCTCAGCCTCCCCAGTACTGGGATGACAGTCATAAAACACCATGCCTGGCTGTATTTCTTTTTAAATCATGAAAATAACATGTAGGAAAAAGGCCAGAGGCGCGTGGGCCTTGTGTGGGAAAGTGAATCTTCTGCCTGCCCTCTTCCTGCCCGGCTCCCCAGAAGTTCATGGTCAGCAGTTCATTGTGTTTCCCTGAGGCTGGCTCAGGCTGAGGAGCTGAGCAGAGTAGTAAGCAACGGTGCCGCCGTCCAGTCCCATCCCTCCCTGGTCCTCGAGCCGTAGGTGTCTGTCCGGGCTTTCTTGCCACTCCTCACCACTCCTGTTTGTGTGCCCTACACCCCGCGTGCTCATTCTCTGGGTTCGAGGGAGACCAGGCGGATGGTCAGGTGGATACCGGGGAGCATCGCAGAATGCTTAGGTGGCAAAGGCCCTGGGAGTCCGCGGGAGCGGCACGAACGGCGGCCAATCCCTGGAGCTGTCTGCTTGTCCTGGCCGGATTTCTGAAGGATACCGTTAGACCAGGAATACGAAGACACAGTGAACCCAGAATAACTTCTCAAAACCAGTTGAGTGAAGTATATTCAAGAATGAAAGCGGTGGGCAACAATTTTTTCTTTTGGTACCAGGGATCGAACTCAGGCCTTGTTGTTTGCGAGGCAGGCAGCGGCACCACTGAGCTAAATCCCCGGCCCTGTAACAATTTTTTTTAAATGGAGAGGCCCCCGGGAGGGTGTGGAGCACCGTAGTGTGTTACAGAGCCGTCCTGGGGGCCGGGAGGGTTAGGGAAGTGACAGTGAGGCCTCCCCACCGCTGGCCACGCCCAGGCCTCAGTCTCCCCCTGCTCCTCGGGCGCAAGGGTTCACCTGAGTGCAGCTGTGGTTTAAATGCCTTTGAAGATGGGCTTGTCAGTGGTGGTGTTTGTTTGTGAGAAAGTCGGTGGTCAGCAGCCATGGGAAGACCTGGGGAAGCATCCGCAAGCCTTATTTGTTTTCATGCCTTCAAAGCTTTCCAACTGTTTGAAACTTAACCCCAATAATGTGGATCTTTTCCAGCCAGGTTTGTCTACAGAATTTCATTTGCTCTGACAGCGGCTGAAAAGGCAGTTCTCCAAAAGGCTTTTCATTTCAGGTTCTTTCCCAGTACTGCGCTCGTGACCCTCCACTGTCCCGTTTATTGAAGCCGAGATGTTCCCCATCCCTTTGAACCTGTTTCACAGTCGCCTGCCCCCGCCGCCGTGGGTGTCGGTTCTGCCATGTTTGCGTCACCCACTGTTGGAGGGGGTGATGCGCCCCTGCAGCCTCGCTGTGGCCTCTGTGTGCTGAGCGAGCTCTGACTCCAGCTTGCCTGAGCTATCTCAGCTCTGGTTCTTCAGCTCAATGTGGTGGGCACGCCTGTGATCCCAGCACTCAGGAGGCTGAGGCAGGAGGATCGCTGTGAGTTTGAGCCCAGCCTCCTGAATAAACAAAACAAGAATGGTACTGGGGAGGCCGTGAGCAGAGGAAAGGTCATTCCCTTGAAGGTGAAACATGTAATAACCCTTCTGCAAGGGGGCAGCAGCAGCCCTCTGTGGACCAGCTGTGGCCCGGATTCTGTCCCTGCACTGAGGAGGCCCCACCCACCCTGTTCTTTCCTGAGCCATGTGTGCCCAGTGGTGTGTCCCTGAGTGTCCCTTGTCTCTTTCTGAAGGGCTGCCTCCCACGCCAGTCCAGCTGCTCTACCCCGTGTCCCGATTCAGCAACGTCAAGTCCCTCCAGCACCTTTGCCGATTCCGGATCCGACAGCTTGTGCGGATAGATCACATCCCGGATCTCCCGCTGCCGAAGTACGGAGGTGCAGGGTGCGGGAGGAGCTGCCCACAGGGACAGCCTGCTTCAGAGGTCACGGCCCGGAGTGGGGAGTGTGCGGGTCCAGTGCACAGTGCAGGGGGCGAGGGCGTGAGGGCGACAGGTGAGGCGAGGCTGGTTCCTCAGGGTGGCGGAGTCTTGGGTGTGGCCCAGCCGCACAGGGCAGGCAGAAGAAGGTTGAACAGGGAAGTATTTCTGGTCTATTTTGAGGCAGGTGGCAGCACCCCTGAGCTGAATCCCTGACCCTTCTGTCTATTCTGTGCAGATAACATTTTGTGTCTTTCTTGTTTGTTTTTCACAGACCTCTGATCTCCTATATCCGAAAGTTCTACTACTATGACCCTCAGGAAGAGGTATACCTTTCTCTAAAGGAAGCGCAGCTCATTTCCAAACAGAAGCAAGAGGTGGAACCCTCCACGTAGCGAGGGCCTCTGCCGGTGACCACCAATGGTAGGCCTGGGGGCCGTGTCGCGCCTCATACCCGCCCTCCAGCCCCATGCGACACCTGCCATGGCGTTACAAGTCTGAGCATGGCCACAGAGCCCCTTTAGGAGAAAGCAGACAGACATGAACGGCTTCACGTTTGCCAAGCTGGAGGTCGAGGTGGGAGGATCAAAAGTTTGCAGCCAGGGCTAGGAATGTAGCTCAGTGGCGCCGTACTTTCCTGGCAAGTGCAAGCTCCCAAGTTTGGTCCCTGGTACTGGCAAAAAATCTTGCAACCTAACTGGGAATTTAGCAAGACCCTGTCTCAAAAATTTTAAAAAGCCTGCTGGGTATGGTGGCACACATCTGTAATCCCAGCACTCAGGAGGCTGAGGCAGGAGGATGGCCACAGGTTCAAGGACAACCTGGGCTATGTAATGATACCTTGTCTCAAAAATCAACAAAAATTTTTAAAGGGTGAGGGGATTGAGACATAGCTCTGTGATAGAGCACCCTGGGTTCAATCCACGGTACTGCCAAAAAAAATTCTGTGGAAGCCAAATACTAGTGTAGGTGAGAACACTCAAGTGTGACAAAGTGTGCTGCTCTCCTCTGGCCTCCATGATCTCCCCACTTTTACACAAATTGTAGAGAGCAGGAAACCAAAGGAGAAGAAGTGTTCGTGGAGGGTGGTCAGACCTGCCTTTAGCTGTGGTAGGCGCCCTCCGTCGGGGCGCCCCTCAGCAGGCACCCTGCTGGCAGTGCCCCGGCTCTCAGTGCGGGCTTGTCCACCGCCAGCGTTGGTTCTGCTGTTCTACTAATGGGCTTCTCCCTCTTCCCCCAGGCATTTGGTAGTCAAGCTCCGGTCTGAAGAACCCAATGACGTTAGCATGAAGAGGAGGAGGCGGAGGAAGAGGGAGCGGAAGGGTTGGGATTCCCTCCGTGGGGACGGGACTCGGTCCCGCAGCCTCCTGGTGTGAGGCTCTAGTCACACCCACCCTGAGGTGCCGGACGGGAGGGCTCCTGGGAAACTGGAAGAAGTCTCAACACTGTTTCTTTTCAGAAGTTTTGTTTTTGATCTTTGCGTTTCTCAGTATGGAAAACAGATGGAAGTGGGGGGAAGGGCGCGCAGGTCCAGAGAGGGCGAGGAGGGCCCGGCCGAGCGGGTATCGGGAAGGGCACAGTAGGACTGGGAGCTCCCAGGGCGTGAAACTCCCGCTCCTCAGCGCCAGTGTCAGCGCTGGAAGAAGGGGTGGGGCGTGGTCCTGTTCCTCTCCTTCAAGGCTTCAGAGTTTAATTTAAGAATCACCTTTCATGGAAGCCATGTCAGTTCGTTTTACTTAATCCCGTAGGCTCTGGGACTTGGAGCAAACCGTCTCCTTCCACCCTGAGGCCGCCCCCCTTGGGATGCCGGATGCTGTGGTCCTCTGTCTGCTTGGTGCTTCCTGAACCCCTGAGCCGCCAACGGCGGGGTCCTGTCCTGCTCCCAGGTTCCCTGTGGCAAACCATCGCCCGGCTTCAAGCCGCCGTGTCCTCCGGTGTCTGCTAGCTGGACAGCGGAAGGGCGGGAAGGGGCAAGGCCGGGCTCTGCCCTTCTCAGGTGGCCTCGGGAGGCCCGAGTCCGGCAGAGGAGCGCAGCCCATCTCGTGTCTCTGGGGTCCTTCTCCCGGACGGGCTGTCACCCCCTGCACCCCCAAGCCATCCACGGCCCTCGTCCGAGTCTGGGAGGTGGCCTGTGAGGGCTGGAAGGAGGGAAGGGGCGCTGCTTCTCAGTCGGGGACTGCAGGGGCAGGGTGTGCTCCGAGGCCGCCTCCTGGGAGCGGTGACTCCGCTGTGCCCCGGCACTTCCCGGACTCCTCAGCAGGAAGCACTGGCCTTGCCCCAAGCCCTGGGCGAGTACCCTGGGCTGGGAAGAACCTGCGGCACGGCACCGGAACACGCTGCCTGGGGGCCCGGCCCTGCTCGGCTCCGCCCCGGGAAGACATCGCTGGCCGAGGGAGGTGTGCTGACCCCAGAGAGGCCCCTCGCTGTCTGCAGGAGAGCTGCGAGTGGAGTCTTGAGTGGCCGAGAGGAAGCCATCTGGGATCCCCGTTCAGCCGCGGAAGTTTAAAAGTACCGTTTGCGTGGCTCCGGACTAGGTCCTGCGGAAGACAAGATCACCGGCCTGAGGGGCCCCTCTGGTGACGGCCACCTGCGAAGTCACTGGAGAGGAGCGAGGAGTGGGGAGACCAGATGGGCGGGAGCTCTGCGGGGAGGCCGCCGAGGCGAGGCCGAGAAGGGAGAGAAGGGACCGAGACGGAGTCCGCAGCGCCTCCCTCAGCCTGTGCAGCCTCGGGCCCTCACAGCCGCATCTTGGGGTCCAGGCTGGAGCCAGTCAGAGGCCCTGCACCCCTGTGAGCCCGGTTTCTGCCGGAGAATCCACACACTCAGGAACAAAACCAGACCTGGCAGAGGCGCCTGCTCTGTCCCCCAGGAGAAAGCTGAGCTTCGGTTGTCTGTGCCTTCCTCGGCAGAGGGGCTGCAGTTGGCCCTGTGTGGGTGACGAGTGCGGGACACGTGCAGGGCAGGGTGGCGGGGCCCGCCCTCCCTCCCAGCCACCGCTGTGCTGTCCAGGCCGCGGGTGGGCCGGGTCAGTGCCCTCCGGCCCTGCGTGTGGGACCCGCGTGTGACTGGCCTGCTGCGGCCCTGAGGATGAGCCGTGATGACAACTGCTACAACCTGCTGTTCCTTGAAATGCGGTGCCCAGTTGGCACGAGTAGGAGGGATGTGGGGGACTAGATAAGTGGGTGACGGCTGGCCTTAGAGTTGGGGGACGCTGGTGATGATGGAACGGAGCTGCCTCTGTGTTCCCTGCTCCTCCCTCCTTTCCCCTGGGGTTCGGTGCGGCTTGGCAGGAGGGGTGGCTGGGTGTGGGTCGCTGCGGGAGCTGGCAGTGCCGCGGTGGGGGGCAGCTCCCAGCCCTGCTGTGGCCCAGAGCCAGGGGCCAGGAGCCAGGATTTCGGGATGGGGTCCTGTGGCTGCTGTGTGTCGTCTCCATCTGGGGGCCGGGGAGCCTGGCTGGTCCCCAGTGCTGAGATTACCACGCCCCTGCGTGGAGGGGAGGGGGTTCGCGTTAGACATTTTCCCTATGGGAATCCTTGGGCTTGGGTTTGTGGGGAGGGGAATGGGTAAGTGGTTTTGATCTCTGATTGTCCACACAGCTGTCCTCACACTGAGTTGTGCTATTGCATACATGTAGCCATCTTTGTTTTCACTGCAGCAGTGTTTATCAGTAGTTCAAATGATTTATTTGCTCCTGGGGAGTAAAACCTTTTTTATTGAAAAAAGAAAAAAATAAAAAGAGAGAAACGTCCCCATTATGATAGCTGTAGGATTATGGGGCCACAAGGTCCAGTCTGCAAGTCCCCGTTGTGAGTCCTACTGGGACACTGGAGCCTTCGTGCCCAGCACAATGGATAGGAGGCCGAGGGGCCAAGTCACAGACGGGCACTGGGGACTTGGGTGCCACAGTGATGAGACAGGAATGGGTTGCATTTAAAATACTGATTCAGCTGGGCGTGGTGGCACAGGCCTGTAATCCCAACACTCGGGAGGCTGAGGCAGGAGGATCGCTGTGAGTTCGAGACCAGCCTGGGCTACGTAGTGAGTTCCAGGTCAGTCTCAACTACATAGTGAGACCCTGTCTCAGACAAACAAAATACTGATGTCTGCTGGAGGAAAAACTAATTTCCCTGCGGATCCCACATCGCCTTTGTCCTTGCCCTTGCTTCTTGGCCTCTGGCAGGTGTCGCCCGGTTTCTTCTGCTCCCTCCCTGTCCCCTCTGCACCTTCACCCCCCACCATATCTACCTCCCGGAAGCCAGTCCTGCATGCTGAGTGCCCTGCGCCCCCATTCATCTCAGTGGGGTTCAGGGGACCTAGAACTGCCCCCCAGCCAAGAGGCACCGGGCAGGCGGGCAGACGTGAACACGAGGTTGCAGCTGGACTGCGATCATGGCTGCTCCTGGAGGTGGTGTAAGGACGGGGGACACTCGCGCTGGGCTGCAGCCCCACTCCCTCACCGGCTCTGACGTGCAGGCTGGTTGAGGACACATCTGTCCCTGGTGCTCCCTCGAGGGATGAGCAGGACCAGGGCCTCACTGCTGCTGGACGTTCTGGTTGTTGGCGAGGACCTCGAGGAAGAGGGGCAGCATCCTGGCCCGGTAGTCGCCAGCTCTTGGCCGCTCCTGCAACCACTGCGACCTCAGCCACCCCTGTCTCCCAAGCCAAAGCGTGGCCTGGCTTTTGTCTGCCCATTTAATTGTCCTTTTCTCTCCCTTTTTGTGCTTAATTTATTAAAATAGTTGCTGTATAATTTATTTTCATAAACTATAAGAAATGACTAAATGGTTAAAATAGACTTGCAGGCCAATCTTAAATGGGGTAGGAAGGTCTGAGGGTGGGAGGGAGCGGGAAAGATGTTTTGATATAAATTAAGACAGATGCAATCTGGGTGTGTTCCAGTATTTTTCTGGGGATCGAGGGTGTTGGCGTCCCTGTAGCTTAGTTCCAGAGCGGGCTGTCTGTACATACTGTAACCATAGGCATGTTTGTTAGAACTGCTGCAGGTCCTGTTGGGAAACCCCGTGTACATTTCCCGGTTTTTGTAAGTGTCAGTGCGGGAGACATTTGACTCTTGTGTTTGTACCTCCTTTTTATGATTGCTGTACCGACCCATGTCTTTCTGGGGAGGGGTGAAAAAAGATTTGAAATAAAAATGTTTAGAAATTATTCCTGTTGTTTGGGTTTGGGCCTTTCCATCCCTCCCGCCTTGGGCCTTGCCACGCCCCCCGGGATGAAGGGGACCTGAGTGCCACCCCGCATCTCACCGCACCCGTCTCCCTGGCATCCCCAAAGCTGGCGGGCAGGGCGTCCACGGGTCACCCTCCTTCTGCGCCGCTCCTGCCCTCTTGAGCTCTGTGCAGACAAGGTTTGCTTGCTGGTTTACACCAAGTGCCCACCCGGCAGTCTCCAGGGCCCCTGCTTAGGGGATGTGCGCCACCGGAGCATGAAAACATCTTGGAAATCGTGTGCTTGGGCCCTGCCGCACTCTCAGGGGCGCCCTCAGGCCGTCCTGGGAGGCGGGGTGCATTTTCATCGTCAGGCCCAGGAGGACACCGAGGTCCCTGCTACCCGATAGGCAGGCGCGTGCGCAAATCACAGCTCGGGGCTGGCTGAGACGGGCGTAGCCTCCTAGGAGGGCCTGGACGCCGGCCTGAAGCTTCTCTTCCCTTTTGGGAGAAAACGTGCTCTGTACAAGGAGGTATAGTTGGGCGTGAACCTCCTAGACAGACCCTGTCTCACAAAAGAGACTGAACAACATTTCAGGAAAGATGCGTCCTTCGCTTGGAATCAGCTTGACGACGGTGGGCCATCTGGGCAGGGAGTGAACCCCACGGGGTCTCTGCCCGCAGGACGTGGGCCTGAGGTGCCACGGGCCGGGTTGTGGCCGGAGAGGAGCGGAGACGCCAGTTCCGTCAGCTCAGCTCTTGCGCCCATGCTGGGACTGTGGGGCTCGCTGGGAAAGCTGGGTCCCAGTGACCACCCTCTGGGAGCCCACAGAAGAACGGGGCCCTTTTGAAAGCAGCGGTTCCTCTTTGTGAAGTCACCCCAAACACACCCCGCAGCCCGCAGCCACCTGCATGGCCTGTGTCCTGTCCTGCCGACGACTTCCGGCTTCCTCTCACCCTGCGGCAGATCCCCTCCGTCTCACGTCTGAGCCCCTGGTGGAAGGGGCGAAATGAGCTTCCTGTCTGTCCAGGATCCTCCAGCCCCAGCGCGAGCATCTTTGTTTTGTTTGTTTCTTTGTTTGTTTCTTTGTTTTGGGGACCGCGAATCGAACTCGGGATCTCGTGCCTGCGAGGCCGGCGGCCTCCCCTCGCGCAGAGCTATCCGCCTGGGTTCAGAGCAGTGACGCTTTCCTCTGGCGCCCCCTGCAGGCCCAGGAGTTCCCTCCGGTTCAGCGGCGCCCGGCTGCCTTATCCTTTCCTTCTGAGGAGCCATTCCCAAGGAGTTTTCTTTTCCTTTTCTGACTTTTGTTTTGGTTTGGTTTGGTTTTTGGTTTTTTTCCCATGTATCCAGGCTGGCGGCGAACTTTTCACAGATCCTCCTGCCTCTCCTCAGCTCCTGCGCCTCCTCCTCAGGAATTTTCACTCTTCCGTTCCGACCAAACCCATGGCTCTTTGCTCAGTGGAGTGAGTCACTGCCTCCTGGCCCGGAGGAGGCGACTTGGGCACACCGGGTCAGCTTTTCCCAGGAACGCTGCTCCTTTCCTTGTTCAGTGACCTAAATGGAAGGGGTCTTCTTTTTATTTTTGCAATACTGGGATTGAAACAAGGGCCTTCCCACTGAGCTACATCCTCAGTCGTCCCTACTTCTTTTTAAATTTTGAGTCACTAAGTTGCCCAGGCTGGGCTCAAGCTTTCAATCTTCCTGCCTCAGCCTCCCAGAGTGCTTGGATCACAGATGTGCACTACCCTGTCCTAACCACCCTCTTGAATGAGCAAGTGAGCTAACTGTTTTTTTTTTTTT